TCAGCCAATACTTATCATGGAGTACCTGTGGCGTGGTGACTTGCTGGGTTACCTCAGAAAATCCAGGGGGGTTTTCGACCACTATCATCGTGGGGTCGGAAGAGTCGACCACTTGACAACATATGACATGGTGCTGTTCGCTAAACAGATCGCACATGGTATGACTTTTCTCGCGTCCAGAGGGGTAAGTGCTCAAACTCTTCTTGGTTTCCATTTCGCAAATCGATCACCATACATCTCCCAGTTAGCTTAATGGATAAAGCGCTGGACTGTTGAGCGGGAGGTTAAGGGTTCGAGCCCCGGCCGGACCAACACTCAAGGTCTTAAAACAAGTGAGAAGAATATGCTACCTTTCTATATCAAGAAATGGTTAAATACTCTTGTCATCTCGGATAGGGACGAATAGATGGGGGTCCCGTCTCTTGCAGGGTTAGGGGTAAGAGACGTTAATCTCCCACGCACGAGATTACTGTGTAATGGATCTCCATCACATTCTTTTTTCAATTTCAGATTATTCATCGCGATCTTGCAGCTCGCAACATCCTCCTCGATGAGCATCGTGTATGCAAGTTGACTGATTTTGGGCTCTCTTATCAGGATTTCAAATACGGTACAGGAAATGCTAAGAAGGTAATTTTCAGAATTTTCTAATCACTTGTTCAGCGAGTTGTTAGTTGACTGTTATCAAATGAATCATATACCATAATGTGAGGTTAGCTTCTTTACTTCTTTTGGGATAGTGGGTATGAAATATTATAATGTGAAAAAACTAAAACGAAAAATGAGCGTATGCCAGTAAATGACGTCAACTAGGCCTCTATTTTGAGACTCAAAACAAAACTTGAACTACAGTGACAAACCTTACTTCCTTATATACAGTTTTACCGCCAAACATGTTTCCTTAATCGGAAGGCCATTTTAAGCATTTCGAAACTTTCATACAAACAAACAAAAAAATTGTACACTCTACCTAAGAAGTGAACGCAGGGAATAAGAAAATCGGAGTTCATAAATGTTCTTTTAAGTGCAAGAATACCAAGTCGAACATGTCGAAGGGTAGTGCAACAAGGGAAATGTAAAGAAAAAGGAGCACTTGGTTTGTATCTAAAGACATTTGTAGAAACGCGTGTGTTGCTCTTGAATTGATCGCGACTACTCGCATCTTTGGTGTTAAAAGGGTCTAAATCTTTATGAAAAATATCTCAGAAATTGTATTACAGGGTCTTTAATTGTATATTCTTACAGTATTCTATATACTCACCCAGGGATGTATCCCAGTCAAATGGAGTGCACCCGAGATTCTGATTGGCCATGTGGAACGGCTCTCAACCAAAAGTGATGTGTACGTACTGCAATCGTCATTATATACATTATAAGTGTCAACCCGTTTACGATGCTTTCTTAACGAATTGAATAATCAGTGCTTTATTGATCAGAGGGTCATTAGGATACGTGGAGCCGGGAAATCTGAGAGTAGATGTGGATGAGTATTGAGTTTTACAGGCAATAATTAAAACCTCATTAAGAAAAAAAAGAGATGAAAAGATAAATAAATGATCAAATAAATAACAATGGAGTTTTTATGTTTAAGGCATTGTTTATATCTTGATTAAAATATTCTAAAACATTTGAAGTATCTAAGTTAAAGATAATTTTTCTACCCTAGTTGACATGAGTCGTCATCCTTCTATTTCTTCCACAGGTGGTCTTATGGCATAGTCCTGTTTGAAATCTTCACAATCGGTACTCAATTCACTTATTTGATAGTTTACTTTCAGAAAATATACTCGCCGAAATTGCTTGCACAATTGCCATTTGAAAGGTTATACCATGAGCAGCTACAGAAGCATTGCATGATAGAGAAGTAATGGCAATACTCAATGTCGCTCT